ACACACACACACACACACACGCTGTCAAGAGACTGAGCCTGTACACACACACACACACTGCACTTGAGAGGGCTGTCAAGAGACTGAGCCTGTACACACACACACACACACATACACACACACACTGCACTTGAGAGGGCTGTCAAGAGACTGAGCCTGTCCCCTGCAATCTCCTTTCTTTCAGGGGTGCACCAAAGAGAGGTCAGAGGTTTGGTCCCCTTCTTAACTGCTTTCCGTGTTTCACGGATTTTTTAAAAATTTTTTAAAAAAGGTGGATTTATTTTAAACGGTCAGTATGAAACTAAAAGAAATCAACAATTTCTCAGAAGCAAGGCCGAGGAGACAAGGGGGCAAGAAGACCGGAGTACTAGCCAGGGAACAAGCCAACAGAGAGAGCAGGGGGCCCCCTGAGAGGAGAGCCCCTAAAGACTCCGCCCACTGCATGGGACAACTGTCAGGGGACCCACTTGCTGTGTGAGCTTTCACCACAACCCCAGTGAACTATTATGGAAGGGGCAGCATACAAACCCACAAAACCCCAACTTAGGAGGATTATTTTAAATTACCACCAACACTAGCAATAACAGACCCCCTTCAGAATTTAGGGTTCAGTACTCCTTCTAGTAAAATGGGAAGCCACGATGCCCTCGTTGGGTCTTTGAGCTTTTCACGCGTGGGCAAAGGGTCATGAAAAACTCCTGTCCCCTGTCGAGTGATAAGGTGTTTTTCCGAAGGGCTTATAAAGAAGACATTAAGAGCATTTTGAACCCAGAAACAGTGCAACCCATTGTATTCGCAGGAGCCTCTTCCTACAAATGAGCACCGTGGTCTCCGTTATGGGAGCAGTTTGAGTCTACCTAGTAGTTGAGGGCAGGGGGCTCTCTCACGCCTCACAGGGGTGAACGAGAGCTTCCAAAGGAGAGACACAAGAACCCCTCTTCCGAGTCCTCCTTCCTGAAGCTCGTCAACTGGAAGAGCCCCTACAGCCACTTTACGGCTGTCTTCACTTGCGAGCAAAGGAACACAGATGTCTGCCTTCGAACGCAGGAGCTATTAAGTCCCGTGACTGAGCCACGGGGGCATGTTTCTATGGTAGAAAGCAATCTGCTCACTTCAATGGTAAGCATGGTACATGCTCACGGTCTCTGTGCCCGCTCTTTGCTATTGACTTCTTTCCCAAACAATTTCCAGAGCTTCTCACAAATCTGTCCTTCCGGTTTGGGAAGAGGGACAGGATGAAAGAGAAGGGAGAGAGAGGAAAGAGGGGTTTTGATTTTCTTTAAAAAAACAACAAAAAGGCAGCGGCGACGGCGCAATGACGGGAGTGGCCAGCAGATGGCACTGTCGGAGTAGAGATCCGCTCTGGAAATGGACAAGGCACCCCGAGCCCAGTGAGGACTGACCAGCAAGCTCCAGTCATTACCTTCTTTTGGCTTCTTCGTACTGGAGGCTTAGCCTGACCTTTTCTGCTAAATTTGATCTACTTCTCACTCCGATCTAGTGAAAAACAAAAGGGGGGAAAAAGTCAATTAACTCGGCTAATGAATGGAGTAAACTGCTTTTGTTTCTAGGAAGTACAAGTAATTGAAAAAGCTAAAGACAACGGGGCTGAAATTGGGAATACCCGTTTAAAAAGGCACTAACTTAACAGCCTCTGTAGGAGCAGACATTTCCTTTTAATTCAAGCTTGCCTGTTCTCTCAAAGACTAAGTCCTTTAGCACCACTTTTTCCACACATTAAATTCAAGATTATA